TTATCTACCACCTGGCCTTATGTTTCACGAGCTAGAATTTATGATAGAGATGGAGGATATTGAATGGAAACGTGCGACAGGCAAGAAGACGTAATACTTTACAATAGAAAGTTATTTGGCCTTGCTTTCGTAACTTGGTCATATTGGTAGGAAGACCTAGAGGAACACACTTAGTCCGGAGTCCATAGTCTGCATGATGATTTCCAGAGTCGGACCGTGAACTTGGTACTTTCCCAGACATTTCGCTGGCATCGTAGTCGGCATCGTCAGTAAGCATTGCCATTCTTAGCACCATATTGCAACTCGTCAAAAGAGACACCTTCTATACAACGAAAGGAGACTGCGACCATACAAAGGGCCACACCATCCTGGTGTTCACACCTTGTAATAGAAAGTTGTTCAAGGGAGGGACTTCATTCATCCTTTTGAAGAGTTGTAGCTTGCCTACAGGCATCTCAATGCTCAGCAAGACACATCTGGGAGTGTACAAAGTCTAGGGTCAAAATCTAGAAATTATCATGGACACAATGGCAGAGGATGCCGGACAAGGTAAACTATTAGAGTTCCTTTTGAAAACACAATCAAGTTGTGGATAAGAGGACAGACAAATTCTATCTCGTGAAAGGACAGTGCGACCAAAATTGGGGCCAGACAATTTTGGTCTTTTTTTCATACTGGATGGTTTCTGCTTAATTTCCTGTTCCCATTTCCAGCATTTAAAGTTAGCCCTATTCTACTTATTTTAATCGTTTCTCTAACGATTCCTAGAAAACCAGTGTTTCATCTTAGATATAAAATTTACCAACACGACAGTCAACAAAATTGGCTCTTCTCCGGCGTTTTTAAGATTCTGTTACAAGAGCCTTTATGTATAATCAACTTTATTTGGCTCTACTTTTCACCAGCACACAGTACTCTTATGTACAGGAAGGTCTTGACTAAGACTCGTTTTGTTTTCAAGTAGGCCAGTATGCCGGCCCATCCACTTCAGGATTAGATTAATTCTGGGCTAAGTAGTCCCACGCCCAAAAGGCTCAAAATGGCTGCTTCATCGTCACGGAAAAGCTGTGAACCTTAGTCTTCGTAAGTAGGGAGCGTCTGACTTTACTTTCAAACTTTATTTCCTGACATACGCCTGGCTGAATAGGCTGGTGTTTTCGCCTTGAAGAAGATGTTTAATAGCTGGAATACTAACTCGTTCACTAGGAACTTTAATCACACACCTAATTATGTGGACCCAGTGGTAAAACTGTATGCACCCCCAAAAATAAGGGCTTATGACAGGGAGAATAGTTGTGGCGCTTTCATTACGCTGGCCTACCACATCTATCGCTAGACGGAGGATTATCTTCACTGTATTCTTTCTTTTTATCCCACATTTAAGCTTATTGAATACATTGTTTTACTAGCTTGAAAATGGAGGTTTGGCTATCAAATTAGCAGATTTCTAAACCATCAATAGACCTACTTATAGGAACTAAGTGTTCACAAAAAAGATGGAAGGACTGGTAGTTAGGGTTCCCAAAATGAAATGGGTAGGCTTTGGGATGGTGTTTAAGTTCACTTTTTTCCCCCCAATAGGTCTTTCAATTCGAGGTGGATTAATGTCTCGACCTTGTTTAGGTCTAATCAGCACATTCAGCAGGATTCTAGACCACATTGTGAGTGTAAAGTGGTAATGGTGCCAGCGGGTCGTAAGGCAGATATACCCTTCAAGGCAAGCTAAGTCCTTCCAAATCCATTATTATAGTGGGACCGGTCTCAATAGGGTAAAATCCTAGTTAGAATGGTCAATGACGAATTGGTTTTGGAAAAATCGGTAGATCTATCAGCAAAAAGTTAAATACTTTTTCGGCTCTGAAGAGACCCAGGCATGCTCGAAATCTTACTGCAATTTGGATGAAAAAACCTTTCTGGAGGCAGGGCTAAGAGGAATACTACGTTGTCATGATGCCCTCTACTCATTGCTTTCCAACAGTTTAAGCGACATAGCTGTCTCGAATTCCGATGACTTTAATTTTATGGCATTATTTGAGCTAGCTGTAAAAGAATTCCAAAATCTAAAACTCTTATTTAATATTTACTGATTATTTTGAAACCTACTCTATATGAATAGAAGTAACGTAGTCGAATGCATTGGAACAATACAAGTTTTCCGTTTTTATAAGTAGGTTTTCGAGACTAATAGTAGATCTGATATAAGAATTTTATTCACCATAATTTATAAAGGTGATAAAGGACTGTTAGTTGAATTTTTAAACAATGATGAGTAGACCTCATGGTTCTATTAAAGTTCACACAGCCTTGCATCCCCAAAAGGTATTCTCATCCAGGGTGGACAGCAATTTTAATATGGCCTAAGTCTCATCAGCTCCCCCAGCTGGACTCGGACCTTGATAGTGCAGTGTATGATTTTGACCCGTCAATTACTAAGGAATATTATCATAAATGCCCGTAGGTTACAGGGCAGAAGTGCATTTCAAAGAAGCCTAGGTAGGATTGCAGACGAAAGAAAGTAGAATTTGACTAAATTACATACTTTTGTAGATAAAAATAGAAACTGGTTTTCGATTAATCTCCTGAGATAACATTGTTGGAGAGACTTTCATCTCGTGTGAAAGTGAATGAAAAAGAGATTTATAGGTCGGTCTCATCAGCAGAGGACGAATGAATCCTGTTGTACTGCAGCCGTTTGCCTTTTATACGACGTTCAGGTTGACGCAGTCGAGGAGACCTCCTCTCCCGTTTCGGGTGAAAACGGGCAAAGACTTCGTCCATCAGATGATGAACACCATCAGAGCTGAGTATCATTTCTGTAAAGGTCTCACGTTAACACTAGGGCAAGAACTCTATCCGGCTCTATCTTCCTTCTTATATAGACTCAATAAGGCCAAAAGGTAATAAAAAACCTAATTATCTTTGTAGATACGAAGAGAAACTTGGTTTCGATGAATCTCCTGAGATAATATTGTTAGGGGGACCTTCATTTCGAATGAAAGTACATGATGAAGAGATTAGTTCTCACCAGATGAGGGCGGATGAATCTCGTTGTCCTGCAGCCGTTTAGCTTTTATATTATATTCATGTTGACGC